ACATGAATCATCCAAGCCCCTCTCCACTCACCAACCCTGATCATCTCCCCCCACTACTCACAAACCCCTGATCTCCAGTTACTCCAATATTATAGTTAAACATAATCCAGAGAGATATCTGACACTGAGAGCCTTGGCCCACCCAGCTTGGGATCATTAATATATTCTCTGTTACAGTCGTGGGGAGGTTTGAGGAAGGAGTTTAATGGATGAGGCTGCTCAGGCTATAAATTGGGGAGACCCCTCAAACATTGAACCTTCCCCCCCCTCCCTCCTCCCCCACAAGGCCATTATCATTTCACAGAACATACCTAACCTTATATTAATTAATCAGCATTTTGGAGAATGGATGCAGAAATTGCAAATGTTCTTTTAAAAAAGATGAGCTGAAAAAGATATTCAAATTCAGTTCTTTTAACCTAAAATTAGAACTTTCTTGACAATTCTTCACGATTCCCAGTTCAATGATCAATGCCTCTGTACTCTTAGTACAATCACACTAAGGTCAGAATATCTGGTCCTTTATGAAATACTTCCAAACCTTTGTCAAATAACCCCATGTATTTCCCTATTGTCCTCACAAAGCCAGCTCTTTTCATGCTGTAATTAAATCAATCTCCAGGCTGGGAATACAGACACGCCATTGATACATTTTAATAAAATTAAAAAGAAACACCCCTTTAAAAGCCTCTCAGCTGATGCACTTGCAAGGCAAAGCGGTAGGAGCCCCATCCCAGACCAGGAAGTAGCTCCACCAATCATGAACCGCTTTCCATTCCGTCTGATTTCATCTCATGAACACCAAAACTTTCAATCATACGATCTAATCGGCTAAACTGCAAGATAAGTAGCCCATGGATCAGCGCAGCTAAGAGGAATAGGCCTTGACAGAGCCAGGAGGTAGGCATAGCAGCCACAGGAATTTAGTGACAGCTAGCATGCTGGGTAGGACGGAGCCATAAGGGGAGTATTTATACCAGCCAATATATGAAGTGGCCATTTTAACTGTACCTAAGCTTACCTGTCAGTTGTCCCTCCCACCCTCCCTGTATTTGGTTAGGTTAGTTGATTTCCCGTTTTTTCACAGCGGTGGGGAATGGCCTGGTTAAATCGGAGGGTAGATGGAGGAGAAAGTGGGCATCCTGAGGTTTAGTGTTGATTGGGCAGTGTTGCATGTTTTTGGTAGGTTCGAGCCCTTCGGAGGCTCCGAACCTGGGGGTGTGGTAGTGTCTTGGTACACCCTACACTGGAACTGGTGGGTAGCGGTGTCTTGGTACACTCCTACAATGGATATGGTGGGTAGCGGTGTCTCGGTACACCCCTACAATTGATATGGTGGGTAGCGGTGTCTTGGTACACCCCTACAATGGATATGGTGGGTAGCGGTGTCTTGGTACACCCCTACAATGGATATGGTGGGTAGCGGTGTCTTGGTACATCCCTACAATGGATATGGTGGGTAGCGGTGTCTTGGTACACCCCTACAATCGATATGGTGGGTAGCGGTGTCTCGATACACCCCTACAATTTAACCTGGTGGAAATGTGGTCAAATTGGGCGGCCAGTTTCTGTATTAACATGTTATTTAGATTGTTATCTATTGTTATTATTGTTGTGTCATTGCTAGGGGTATGTTATGTATATGGGGGGATGTTAACTTTTATAAGATTTGTTGGCAATGACCCCATTTGTTATTCCTTAATTATTTTATTAATAATTTAATAAAGCTGTGGACTAATTATTTCCAACAGTATAACCTGTGTCCGTGTTTTAATGGGGGTTTGGGTAAGGTTAGCGCATATGCCGGCAAATCCGACTGTGCGCCTGTCAAGTAATTTGATAAATAAGGCTGTACGTATTCTCTCGAGCCATGGACCAAGACATCTACACAGCAACGGCATGCAGGGATGTAAAGTCTACAGAATATGTTGGCGCTCTATAAATATATTTATATCTATTACTGAATCGTATTTTATCCTGTAACAAGTTCAGAGTGCCAACTCTTTGTTACCCCTTTATGAGTTTTACGTAAGTTTTATGAGAAGTGCTTTCAACGTGTGGCGTACTCTCTGCAGACTGTGATGAATGATGGCCCGTGGCGGTAGAGGAGGGGACGGCGCTGCACCGTGTCAGGATAAGTAAATTTATCCCTTGACAAATGAGGCTTTTGGAAAACATTCCAGCCCTGATTGTGTCTCTAAGCATGATGAAGCATTTACCACACGATACAGTGATATCATTCCTTAAACTCTGCACAGGACCCCTCCACGTATAGCGGGGACAAAACCAAGATAATCACGTTGCAATTACAAGATAATGTCCAAAGATCTCTGCAAACCGTTTGCATATTATTTCCTTTACTGGCAAAAAGCAATCGTATAATTACTCAAATTACAGTCTAGATAGTACCGTGCGCATATCCAATAACTACAAGCCTTGCAGATTACACCGTAATTAGACAGGTATTCTTGCTTTTCTGAGTGCAAATGAGCATTTAAAGCTGCTGACAGAACATGTTTTATAAAATTTTGTTTAAGTTTGAATATCTACATTTTATTTAATTGTGTTTATAAATAAAATCAGGCTGTCTGAGCTTCATGGGAAAATGATTTGGTCGAGGTTAGCTGTTTTACAGAAAAAAGTAACAAAATAATAAAAAGATCATTTTTTTCATCCGTTTTCTTACTTTTATTCTTTATGTAGAAGCCACGGATTTAATCTCCCAATACAAACATTGTGTCCTCTGTCATGTATAAACTGACGCATATTGTTCCTACAAACAATTCCCATTCTTTTAATGTCCTTTTAATGTCAAGGATGTGCCTGACGCTGACAGTCACAACTGGTTAATACTCCATCATTTGTCCATTTTAAACGTCACTTCATAATTTAGCAACCTAAAAATGGAACTTGTTGGAATTTACATAGAATGGTGCCATGTATATATTATTTATTATTTAACTATTATCAACGGATATGTAATGAGAAAGCAGCACTTAGGGTTGTAAAGATCTGTTAGAGAGTATTGTGGGATCACTAGCTATAGATCAACATGATCCATTTTACAGACAGACATATATCTGGTAAAGGAAAGTATTTGGGTGAAATTACAATGAGATATTATCCATCGATTAATGTGAGGTCCTGGGTTCTCATTATTTTCTTATTCTGAATGATCTATTTAGTTAGATTTTATACAGGGCCCTTGTTCATGGAACTATACAAAGAGTATCAGTTATGCTCAATCTGGGGTTCAGACAGAACACGATAAATTCGCCATCCTGGTACGGTTTCTGCACTGGTTACATCCTGTCACTACAAAACTGCAAACTGCTAGCACATAGTGTTTAATAGGTTGGCCCGTGAGCTTACAATCTGTCGGAGATACTGGCACTGGAGACAATAAGCAGCAGAGGGAAATACACCGCTCATGGTAGAATTTCTATACATTCAGACTTATTTACTGAAGGGAGAATTCAAATAGAATTTAAAATTTAAAGACAAAATAACTGACCTGGAAAATAAAGTAAGCTGTGATTTTCACTTTTCATCTTAAATTTTAATTCACTTTGGATTTATTTTTTAGTGAATAGCCCAGAATGTGTGTTCTGTAAAGAATTAGTGGGATGGTTGAGCGGTTAATTTGCTCAGACGGAGAGAATGCTCTATTACATAAAGGACCACTATAGTGCCAGGAAAACAAACTTGTTTTCCTGGCACTATAGTATTAATAGGTCCCCCCCACCCTCATGGCCCCCCTCCCGCCAGGCTGAAGGGAGAGGAAGGGGTTAAACACTCACCTCCGTCTTCTTCCGTCATCAGCTGAATGCGCATGCCGGTCAAGAGCCGCGCACGCATTCAGTCAGTCCATAGGAAAGCATTCTCAATGTGAGAATCGCGGAAGCGCCTCTAGCGGCTGTCAATGAGACAGCTACTAGAGGCTGGATTAACCCTAAAGTAAACATAGCAGTTTTCTGTTCACAGCAAAAAGGGTTAACCCTAGAGGGACCTGGCACCCAGACCACTTCATTGAGCTGAAGTGGTCTGGGTGCCTATAGTGGTCCTTTAAAGTCCGTGGGTTCGTGGGTTGTGTTTATTGACAGGAGAAACTCTCGGCATAGTATCACTTTGTGCAGTAAATCAGCCATAACTGGGCTCACAGCTAGCAGGTCCAACTCATCGAGCCAAGTAGCACAGATCCAGCTCTGCCTTCAGTACTTTTCATGTGGATTCTGCACCATAAGACCCGGTTCCTGCTGACTGCTGACATCTAAACCCCACATAATCTTACTATTGGAACTGACAAGACAACTGCTGCTATGATCAGTCACGCAGTATGAAATAATTCTCAATGAGTGATTTAAACCAGAACGGTCATCTCCCAGAATTTGTTTTATTATATTTAATTATCCCTATATGTATCTGTGAGCTGTGAAAAATAAAATGTAGAAATCCTCAGTTCTTTATCCTGTAACTGGGTGCCTCCATCTCAGCTCCCTGTCAATCATTGTTATAAGCTCCGCCCATTACACCTGGCAGGCAGCGTAGAGAGAGCCACCTCCATCTTAGCTCCCTGTCAGTCATTGTTATAAGCTCCGCCCTTTACACCTGGCAGTCAGTATAGAGAGAGCCACCTCCATCTTAGCTCCCTGTCAATCATTGTTATAAGCTCCACCCTTTACACCTGGCAGTCAGTATAGAGAGAGCCACCTCCATCTTAGCTCCCTGTCAGTCATTGTTATAAGCTCCGCCCTTTACACCTGGCTGTCAGTATAGAGAGAGCCGCCTCCATCTTAGCTCCCTGTCAATCATTGTTATAAGCTCCGCCCTTTACACCTGGCAGTCAGTATAGAGAGCCACCTCCATCTTAGCTCCCTGTCAATCATTGTTATAAGCTCCGCCCTTTACACCTGGCAGTCTCCGCCCTTTACACCTGGCAGTCAGTATAGAGAGAGCCACCTCCATCTTAGCTCCCTGTCAATCATTGTTATAAGCTCCGCCCTTTACACCTGGCAGTCAGTATAGAGAGAGCCACCTCCATCTTAGCTCCCTGTCAATCATTGTTATAAGCTCCGCCCTTTACACCTGGCAGTCCGTATAGAGAGAGCCACCTCCATCTTAGCTCCTTGTCAATCATTGTTATAAGCTCCGCCCATTACACCTGGCAGTCAGTATAGAGAGAGCCACCTCCATCTTAGCTCCCTGTCAATCACTGTTATAAGCTCTGCCCTTTACACCTGGCAGTCAGTATAGAGAGAGCCACCTCCATCTTAGCTCCCTGCCAATCATTGTTATAAACTCCGCCCTTTACACCTGCCAGTCAGTATAGAGAGAGCCACCTCCATCTTAGCTCCCTGTCAATCATTGTTATAAGCTCCGCCCTTTACACCTGGCAGTCAGTATAGAGAGAGCCGCCTCCATCTTAGCTCCCTGTCAATCATTGTTATAAGCTCCGCCCTTTACACCTGGCAGTCAGTATAGAGAGAGCCACCTCCATCTTAGCTCCTTGTCAATCATTGTTATAAGCTCTGCCCTTTACACCTGGCAGTCAGTATAGAGAGAGCCACCTCCATCTTAGCTCCCTGTCAATCATTGTTATAAGCTCCGCCCTTTACACCTGGCAGTCCGTATAGAGAGAGCCACCTCCATCTTAGCTCCCTGTCAATCATTGTTATAAACTCCGCCCTTTACACCTGCCAGTCAGTATAGAGAGAGCACAGAGAGGAGGAGAAATGATACAATGTTACTATGTCTCTCCTACATTTGCATTGTGTGCCCTGACAATGTCAGAACTGAACTAGATTATGATGTCATTTGGTAAATCTATACATTTAAAGGAAAACAAAGCTTCACATGAAAAATAAGATAACAGTTATAGGCAATAATTCAATGTTTTATTCACAGTATCATTTCCACAAAAGTGCCAGTTCTCCTTTAATTTGAGTTATGTTATATTTACGACAAAGCTGGTCTGCAGTATGAATTGTTAATATGGGGACATTACGATGCGTATCGTTGTCATTTGTTCTGGAACAGATGGCGATGCATCCAAAATTGTAATTCTCATCCATTTTAGAAAATGAAGTTTGAAGAACAAAACAAATGATTTAACCCGCACTATATCATAGCATATTTTATAGAACAAAGGAGCAAATTCCTTTAAGTGAAATACACTAACAACACAAGAGTGTTCGACACTCTTAAATAAACAGTTCTAAGTTATAAGGCATTGTATGCAGGTTACCGAACGCTAATGTATCACAATCCAGGTTTTACTACGTATCGGTGAATACTCTAACAGCTCCAGGTAACGTGTTTATGGTTTGTTTGATTTGTTTATATACCCATTGTACATCGCTGCAGACTATGTTGGTGCTCTATAGATAATACATAGTTCTGTCTGTCACAGAGTAACTTGCCAGCTTGTAAAATTCTATTATTATTTCTTCCAGAAACCATGATTTCGAAGGGGAATGATTGCTTAGATGCAGCGAAAGCCTGCAACCTGGACGATACGTGTAAGAAGTACCGCTCGGCGTACATCACACCCTGTACCAACAGCATGTCCAATGAGGTCTGCAACCGCAGGAAATGCCATAAAGCTCTCAGGCAATTCTTCGACAAGGTCCCGGCAAAGCACAGCTACGGCATGCTGTTCTGTTCCTGCAAGGACTTCGCATGCACAGAACGAAGAAGGCAGACTATCGTCCCTGCCTGCTCCTACGAGGAGAGAGAGAAACCAAACTGTTTAAACTTGCAGGAATCCTGCAAAACCAACTACATATGCAGGTAAGTGGTCTCTCTGTCCCCAGCTCGGCGCGCACTCTTATAATAACTGCACTGCAGGCTCATTGAAATTCTCAGCATTGCAGTAAATGCACTCAATGTATATTTCAATTATAGCAGAATTCTATCTATTCCAAAGCTTTTCCTGTTATGGGTTGGTAGAATACAGATGGTGTTTTCTGGTATAGAGCAGTTGTGAATGCTATAGAGGGCCACACCTTCCAAGGGTCCCTATGTAGGAGGGACAGTCACTATTGTGGTCCCATTTGTGATTCCTCCTCCCCCTTTTTAAATCTTAATGTCCCTTTTTTCTGGGAAACAAATGTTTTTGGTGTGTCTGAGCGAGTACCCAAGCTTCACAGCAATACGTCTCCCAGTTATGTGTCTTTATTCTGCAATAAATGTATTTATAAACCTGTGTAAATAAGATACTTTGTTCTTTTTCTAAATTACATTTTCGGTTCATAAATAGTTTTCAGAAGGTCTTGAAGGCACCTAAAATGTCCTGGAATAGTTAAGTTCTGTCAGATTTATCTGCCCCGTCAGAATTCCCCACCCACGTCACGTCCGGTGACACGGAGTCAGCTGTTCCCTGTGCTACACATGCGTGCTAGCATTCCTAACAGTTAGAGAAATCTGATGCAGGCTGAGAGCATGCGCGAGACCATAGTCACTCCCGATGACGAAACATGGACTGGTAACTCCTCAGAGAGGTCCTGCACGGTAAGTAAATCCAGACTCACGCTCACATTATAGTTAAGGCATTCACTAAAGAACAGGCACATGGGACATTTAGGGTTAATGTTAGTGTTAATATTATGGTTAGGTAGCTAATTTAACCTCTCTCTCACTTAATCCTAGGAGTACGGCTTAAATTAATTCTATACATAATTTCAAAATCTTTACCCATCAAGAGTGCCAGCACAGGGACAGCTGATCTGCCTCACCAGACGTCATGGGGGTAGAAATTTCTGATGGGTAGAGAAATCTGACAGAACACCGGCACACAATTTAATTCACTTATATTCCTAAATGTTGTCAAGGCACAGCCTGGCACACAATGTAAATTACTTATATCTCATGATGCTGTCAAGGCACAGCCTGGCACATAATGTAAATTAATTATATCTCATGATGCTGTCAAGGCACAGCCTGGCACATAATGTAAATTACTTATATCTCATGATGTTGTCAAGGCACAGCCTGGCACATAATGTAAATTAATTATATCTCATGATGCTGTCAAGGCACAGCCTGGCACATAATGTAAATTACTTATATCTCATGATGCTGTCAGGGCACAGCCTGGCACACAATGTAAATCATTTGTATCCCATTATGCTGTGCCATCAATAGAGTGATTTTCAAATGATGCAAACTATGTGATCCATTAAAAGTTTTATAAAAATGTTAAAAGCACAGCTAAAAAGTTTACCCTTCTGTTAGGACATTTATTTATACATTGTTGACAACATAGGTTTTATTATTAGTATATACATGACGCCAACTTATTCCGTAGCGCTTTCCAATATTATTGAGGGGGAACTGTAACAATAAATGAGACCATTATAAACTGTGTTAGGAACAATAGGTTGATGAGGACCCTAATCGAATGAGCTTACAGTGTAGCGCCAACATACTTATTTTAGTGTCCATCACTCTAAATCCAATATTACATCTGGAAATATTGTTACCCTAAAAGAAGAGGGCAGCATCTGATTCCCAGCTCGGGGACGTACTCCTGGGACTGAGGGCTAATGCGGCATCACTTGGGGGAGTGCAGCTTGTGGAGCCTAATGGGGAATGTTGCGGTCACCATAACTGCTGCAGGTAGGATTCTGCCTCTTATCTACCGCTGGTTTAAGATAATGTACGGCTTTGTTGGTGCTCACATCTATTTTATTCATATTAGAGTGGAATTGAATGGATTGTCGTGTTGTGTAAATCACTAATCTGACGGCCATTTCTACTGGGTTTGCCAGAATTGCTCCGAATCCTGTGTTCATGGTGAAGGCTTATCACTGGCAGTGCAGCTTGTTTTGTAATATAATCACCGTACCAACATGGTTAAACTTTAAAACCTCTGACCTCTAAGGTCAAACTATTAAATCACGCAGGGCCGCAATCACGTGGGTACAGCCAGTAGAGCTGCATGGAGCCCGGGCCCTATAACCCCAATGTGCTTATATATACATAGGGTGTCACCATATATATATATATATTTATGCACCTGCGGGCCCCTGCTGGCATGTTTAGTAAAGAGGGGGCCCAGCAGACTCCATCTTGCACCTCCGGGCAGTATCCTCTCTCTTCCTTAGTCACAGCTAATAGGTATGAAGTTGGGATAAGCTGGATTACAAGTTAAAACTACTCCCCTACCCACAGCCCCTATCATCCTTGTTGGGAAGGACTCGGGGCCAGGCCTTGAGCTGTGTGAGGAGCCCCAACATTTCTGATGGCAAATTGGATGTTTTGTATGTGAAACATTGTATTAATTTGGAGCTGGTAAACCAACATAATTCTTATAAACTGCTCTAATAGTTTATTTAACTGTTGGGCAATACATGAAAAGGGCCTTCATTTGATTTATTGGGGGGGAGGGAGGATAAATGTGGAGTGGATCTCATTCAAACTACCATAACTACCATAAGGTATAGATGAATTCTGCAAGCGTTCTGGGAGCACCATTTATGTGCCTTCCAACAGTGTTAGGAAATCAAGTGACTACAACGACAATGGGGTCTATTTGTCAAACTTGGATATGCGGATGTAGAGGAAGGAGATAGTCCATTTGTCTGTTGGTTGGGATTATTGGGAGTAGTAATTTATATAAACCCCATTCTCTGCATACTGCAGTAAATAACAGGCGTTGGAAAGTTAACCTTGTATTTGGTGGTGTTCTATATAAACCATTACATGATGTGGGTATTCCAGCACGGCCGACCTTGTACACTCAGAAATGTTGGAAGAGAAAGACGTTTAGCGATAGATCTCTATCTGTTTCATTTTACAATGTGCTGCAGAAGGCATCGTCTTGGCCAGTAACATACATAACACTGACATGGTTTGTATGGATGTCTGCAGGCGGACAAGGCAGTAATGCACGTTTTCCCTAAATAATGAAAATTACAGAGTCAGGGACAATGAAATGTGTAAAACCAGATCACAGGAAGAGCTAACGCAATCAATCTAATTATCTTCTAATTTCTTCTCTGAGCAAAACAATCAGTAAGTAACCGTGCAAGCACACAGACTCGGACAGGAAGGAAATATTACCAGGAAATTAAGACAAAAATTATTTTTTCACTTTATTATTCTTAGTCCTTGCAATCAGGTGAAATCTCATATTGGGCAAAATCTGTGCGATTCGCGGCTGTTGGACTCTCCATTTTTTTATTATTCCCGGAGGTTTGTTGAAATAAAAATTGCATATGTGATATTTCTGGACACATTAATAACACCAGTGAGACGTCAGATCACAATCCCACCATTTACAAACTCTCCGTCCAGTGCTCAGTACACTCAGGTTTCAGCAATCTCAGTCTGGCTGAAAGAGAGTTAAAAAGGAACTTTAAAATACTTTTCTTACTATCGACCAAAATCCCTAAATATGTCAAAAGTCACTTTATGAGCTGTACAATCAACGTTTACTTATTTAACAGTTTAGTAGATATATCTGAAAAGCAAACACATGTATTTTTATTTCCATGTTTTGTTTCCGCTATGTGGGAAATTAGCTCGCAATAGCTGCAGATCTGGTGTCTGCAGCCATTACAAACCCTGCCCTCAACCTGTGAGACACTGTTTTTTTTAAACCTGTTTTAACAAGGATAACATTTCTGGGTAGTTTGGTAAATGTGGATTGATAGCGAAACAACTCCAGATGTAATGTACGCCTTAATATGGGAATAGCAGAGATAAATTACACTTGCAGTTATGACCTACATTTCCCAAGATGCTTTGCCAACCTTAAACTGTGATGAATTTTAAGTAATTTCTAAATTCTAGACCAAAGTAGCAGTTTAGGGATAAAACTCCCACTTTGGGAAAGTGTGAGATAGTTTGTATCCCAGCTGTTCCAGCTGTCATCTCATCACATCTCACTGTTTAGTACCCCCTAAACATCTGTCTGGTTTCTGAATTCTGGGTGTCCACCTGCTGAGAATTGCTACAAACTGCAGACTTTATGGGATGTTGCAGCATTCTTGTTTAGAAAATCAATGACTGGAATATAAAGTGTTTGCCATTTACTGACTCCTACTTTCACAATACAATTCTCTGTCACATAATGAATGTACAAAGTGATTGGCAGAGTGCAGATACTAGCAGACTACATTACCCATGATGCTTTGCCAGCTGGATACTTTGACAGGCAGCGTCCAAAAACCATGTACGCATTTCTTTTATGTTTTTTATTGGAGTTATTTTATGTTTGTATAACTTACTCAGATTACACTAAAACAGCTGAATTAAATGTTTTTTTGCCAATTCAGCTATTTTTGTTGGGATTTTTAGAGTCAGAATTAGCTCACAACAACTGTCTGGTGAAAAGACCCCTAATCCCGCCGGGTCATGAAATTATGAAGCAGCTTTATGCTCCATACGGCCAAATTATTGTCACCACAAATCCATTGTGCGAGAAATGATGATTATATGAACCGTCTGCTCATGTGATATGTGCCAGCATCGCACAGAGCTTTCTGTTTGGAAATAAAAAGTGAAATCCTATTATATGAGCTCAGATATAAAACATGTATTCATAAAACGGACCGGACACACAGAACTTACATTCATCGATTATATTTCTATCGTTTGATGAAAACTTCTGTGCAGATATCTCCCTGGTTGATTTGTAGTAAGAGATGCATCTCTATGTACACCTGGATTTATTACCATTTTAGTTATATTTTTGTACATACGGCCATTTTCTACTTTGGAGAAGCACGTTAAACCCTGTTTATTTGGCTGTGCCAACCATATAATAAGCTTCAGTGAGCCCTTGCACAGGCTGAACATTATAGGAGTTGTAGTTCACACCAGCTGCATATTTAGAAGTTAGCCATCGCTGGGGCCACCATGCGAGGTTACCGCTGTGCGGTAAACGTTCTTTATCTTTAACTAATTCAATTGATACATTTTTTATTTCCTATTAAATTATCGCTGCCTAGTAGAACTGAACTCTCAAAGCTTAAATGAAATAGAAACGCAAATCCAATAAAGTATTTACTGTTTTCTCATTCCACATAGACAGTTCATAAACTTTAATTGTTTTGCAGAAAGTTAAATAAGCTGAAATAAAGTGTACATGGCTTCTGAATTACGAGAAGTTCAGTAATACTGAGAATATTAACCATTCAGTATGGTAGAGCTATCCGATATATCGCTCACTCGCTGTGCTCCCTCTAAGCAGTCTGATCTAGTATGGTCTAATATATCGCTCACTAGCCGTGCTCCCTCTAAGCAGTCTGATCTAGCATGATCTGATATATCGCTCACTCACTGTGCTCCCTCTAAGCAGTCTGATCTAGCATGATCTGATATATCGCTCACTCGCTGTGCTCCCTCTAAGCAGTCTGATCTAGCATGATCTGATATATCGCTCACTCGCTGTGCTCCCTCTAAGCAGTCTGATCTAGTATGGTCTAATATATCGCTCACTCGCTGTGCTCCCTCTAAGCAGTCTGATCTAGTATGGTCTAATATATCACTCACTCGGTGTGCTCCCTCTAAGCAGTCTGATCTAGTGTGATCCGGTCTAATATCTGATCTAGCTCACTCGCTGTGCTCCCTCTAAGCAGTCTGATCTAGTATGGTCTAATATCACTCTCCCTCTAAGCAGTCTGATCTCGCTGTGCTCCCTCTAAGCAGTCTGATCTAGTGTGATCCGATATATCGCTCACTAGCCGTGCTCCCTCTAAGCAGTCTGATCTAGTGTGATCTGATATATCGCTCACTCACTGTGCTCCCTCTAAGCAGTCTGATCTAGTATGGTCTAATATATCACTCACTCGCTGTGCTCCCTCTAAGCAGTCTGATCTAGTATGGTCTAATATATTGCTCACTAGCCGTGCTCCCTCTAAGCAGTCTGATCTAGTATGGTCTAATATATCGCTCACTCGCTGTGCTCCCTCTAAGCAGTCTGATCTAGTATGGTCTAATATATCGCTCACTCGCTGTGCTCCCTCTAAGCAGTCTGATCTAGTATGGTCTAATATATCGCTCACTCACTGTGCTCCCTCTAAGCAGTCTGATCTAGTATGGTCTAATATATCGCTTACTCGCTGTGCTCCCTCTAAGCAGTCTGATCTAGTATGGTCTAATATATCACTCACTCGGTGTGCTCCCTCTAAGCAGTCTGATCTAGTGTGATCCGATATATCGCTCACTAGCCGTGCTCCCTCTAAGCAGTCTGATCTAGTGTGATCCGATATATCGCTCACTCACTGTGCTCCCTCTAAGCAGTCTGATCTAGTATGGTCTAATATATCACTCACTCGCTGTGCTCCCTCTAAGCAGTCTGATCTAGTATGGTCTAATATATCGCTCACTCGCTGTGCTCCCTCTAAGCAGTCTGATCTAGTGTGATCCGATATATCGCTCACTAGCCGTGCTCCGTGCTCCCTCTAAGCAGTCTGATCTAGTATGGTCTAATATATCGCTCACTCGCTGTGCTCCCTCTAAGCAGTCTGATCTAGTATGGTCTAATATATCGCTCACTCGGTGTGCTCCCTCTAAGCAGTCTGATCTAGTATGGGGTCATTTAGTCCCCTTTTTTGGCTCCAAACCTCCGATAGCCTATCACCACATCCTGATTGTGAGGCTATACACCATCCCCAGGAGCAAGCTACTGCCAAGGCTGCAACAACGATCTCCTCCGACACTGCTGATCCAACCTCTAGGCTATCTCCATGTCCTCATTGTGAGGCCATACACCATCCCCAGGAGCAAGCTACTGCCAAGGCTGCAACAACGATCTCCTCCGACACTGCTGATCCAACCTTTAGGCTATCACCATGTCCTCATTGTGAGGCCATAGACCATCCCCAGGAGCAAGCTACTGCCAAGGCTGCAACAACGATCTCCTTCTGCACTGTTGATCCAACTGCTGGGACAGAAGCCCATATAGGCCCCTTTTCTGGCTCAAAACCTCTCACCAAGCCTCCACTGGGCTATCCCCACGTCCTCATTGTGAGGCCATAGACCATCCCCCGGAGCAAGCTACTGCCAAGGCTGCAACAATGAGGCTGCGTAAATGTCCTTCCTTATAGCAATAGTACTATTAACACCGCTAAATTCCACAGAAGTTCTTTATAAAGGATTTTCCAATAAACCGAATTGTTGAAAACTGATAAGGCGGCTGCAAATCGTGGCTGAGAATAGCCAAGCTCACTAAACTCTCCATCCTAGACCTTTTCCAGATTTATCTATTTTGCCTTAAAATGTACAATTCTTTCATCAGGTCTCCACCACCCCCAGCTTATTGAATAAACTGTGAGTTACATCTACTGTATTAAAAGCATATTACATTTTACTTGTAAAAAGCTTAGTCTGTAAGTTTATAGTGATGGTTGATCTGTCGCTGTTAATGAAACGCAGACTTATACAAAGTGTACTTCTTAAATTCCATTATTCTTTAGTATTGAGGATATTAATAAAATGTATTCCCCATGGCCCATCTTAGAGGCTGTACTGTTCCTCGTTCCAAATAAATCTGGGTCAGGTTTATTATAAATGAAGTCTTATCTGGGGAGGAAAATGGGATATTTTTAACATTTATGGCATGATCTGTCTGTCTGCTGTCTTCAAGTCTCTCATTCACTCCTTTCTTCCTTCCAATCAATGTATTGATTTTGGTCTCTCTCTCTCTCTCTCTCTCTCTCTCTCTCTCATTGTATTCCCCTTTACTTGTACTCTCTATAATGCAGTTTGCTGACAAGATGATAATCGCAAAGATGGCTGTTTCTATGCTACCAAACCTAACATTTAGTAAGTGGCAGCTGCCCAACGTTTTAACATTTCCCATGAAGATTAACAGAAACATAGACTGTGATGGCAGAAAAGAACCGTTCAGCCCATCTAGTCTGCCCAATTTTCTAAATACTTTCATTAGTCCCTGGTAAATGCTAACCAGGGCCTGGTGTTTGTGCTCGATGGTAAAGTTTACCATTTGTCGCTATCTGATAAAAAAAATTCACTTCTCTTGTCTGTGTAAGATACTGTAAAGATAAAATAGGAAAAGTAGTTACTAACAACTAACTAAAATAATAAATGTATTCTCATTTCAGGTAGTAGGAGTTTTCACTAAATATACCTTGCGTAAAGGTGCAATGGAGAAAAAATAATTTATATTACCCTTTGGTTACTTCCTTATGACTCTTATCCGAAACGATTGCTAGCTCACTTGTTCCATCACAGTGGGAACCTATGGCATTAATACAGGGAGTGCAGAATTATTAGGCAAATGAGTATTTTGACCACATCATCCTCTTTATGCATGTTGTCTTACTCCAAGCTGTATAGGCTCGAAAGCCTACTACCAATTAAGCATATTAGGTGATGTGCATCTCTGTAATGAGAAGGGGTGTGGTCTAATGACATCAACACCCTATATCAGGTGTGCATAATTATTAGGCAACTTCCTTTCCTTTGGCAAAATGGGTCAAAAGAAGGACTTGACAGGCTCAGAAAAGTCAAAAATAGTGAGATATCTTGCAGAGGGATGCAGCACTCTTAAAATTGCAAAGCTTCTGAAGCGTGATCATCGAACAATCAAGCGTTTCATTCAAAATAGTCAACAGGGTCGCAAGAAGCGTGTGGAAAAACCAAGGCGCAAAATAACTGCCCATGAACTGAGAAAAGTCAAGCGTGCAGCTGCCACGATGCCACTTGCCACCAGTTTGGCCATATTTCAGAGCTGCAACATCACTGGAGTGCCCAAAAGCACAAGGTGTGCAATACTCAGAGACATGGCCAAGGTAAGAAAGGCTGAAAGACGACCACCACTGAACAAGACACACAAGCTGAAACGTCAAGACTGGGCCAAGAAATATCTCAAGACTGATTTTTCTAAGGTTTTATGGACTGATGAAATGAGAGTGAGTCTTGATGGGCCAGATGGATGGGCCCGTGGCTGGATTGGTAAAGGGCAGAGAGCTCCAGTCCGACTCAGACGCCAGCAAGGTGGAGGTGGAGTACTGGTTTGGGCTGGTATCATCAAAGATGAGCTTGTGGGGCCTTTTCGGGTTGAGGATGGAGTCAAGCTGAACTCCCAGTCCTACTGCCAGTTCCTGGAAGACACCTTCTTCAAGCAGTGGTACAGAAAGAAGTCTGCATCCTTCAAGAAAAACATGATTTTCATGCAGGACAATGCTCCATCACACGCGTCCAAGTACTCCACAGCGTGGCTGGCAAGAAAGGGTATAAAAGAAGAAAATCTAATGACATGGCCTCCTTGTTCACCTGATCTGAACCCCATTGAGAACCTGTGGTCCATCATCAAATGTGAGATTTACAAGGAGGGAAAACAGTACACCTCTCTGAACAGTGTCTGGGAGGCTGTGGTTGCTGCTGCACGCAATGTTGATGGTGAACAGATCAAAACACTGACAGAATACATGGATGGCAGGCTTTTGAGTGTCCTTGCAAAGAAAGGTGGCTATATTGGTCACTGATTTGTTTTTGTTTTGTTTTTGAATGTCAGAAATGTATATTTGTGAATGTTGAGATGTTATATTGGTTTCACTGGTAATAATAAACAATTGAAATGGGTATATATTTGTTTTTTGTTAAGTTGCCTAATAATTATGCATAGTAATAGTCACCTGCACACACAGATATCCCCCTAACATAGCTATAACTAAAAACAAACTAAAAACTACTTCCAAAAATATTCAGCTTTGATATTAATGAGTTTTTTGGGTTCATTGAGAACATGGTTGTTGTTCAATAATAAAATTAATCCTCAAAAATACAACTTGCCTAATAATTCTGCACTCCCTGTATGTCAAAATGATCCCACACACAAGGACCGTCAAGAACCGATTTTATCTGCAGATCCCCGTGTATGAAATGGTCAGAAACCCTACACAATCACTGTGGGCAATGTTGGGCCTCGTTAGATGTAGCAGACATCCCCGTGGACACAGTGAGCATTTGGCACACATCTAGATTACGAAAGTACTTCTCAAATGTTTGCTCTACAAAGCTTATCCATCTCTTCCTTATAATATTACTTTATGATTGTGGATACATTCACAGTCGATTCTAATGATTGATTCGATTTAAGTAACACTAGCTGACGCAACTTGCAATTTATGGTGGCATTTGTGCCACAATCGAACATCTCAATCCAAATTAAGATTTATCTCTCAGTAAATTGAAAAAATAAATAACTTGCTGTATTTCAAATCGCTCTGGGAAACGCAGGCGGCGATATTACAAGCTTCCTTCTGTTTGTGCAAGATAACGAAGCCTCAATCTGAATAAATTTTGGTCTGATTAAGGGCAGGCAGTCTGAGATCTCATATCTCGGTTTTTGTAGATATATCTTGCTGTCTATTCCCTCCTGGAAGGTGAGGACATTAATCATGATGTGAGCCTAGGATTGTGTGCTTTATGCTCTGAGATAATCTTTCCTTTTGTGAGATTCTGTTTGGACTCTGAGGAAAATATATTTGCACGGATAGGGTTATGCATGGACCTCCTGTTGCATCAGGTGATATTTGCTGATTTGTGCCACAGATATTGTTAACCTCTTTAGAGAAATTAAAGAGTTTTCTTTGCATAACAATATAGTGCTAGCCCTTCGAGGCGGGCAGGAGATAGGAGCCAAACTGCTACGGTTTATCTTTCTAAAGCTTCACAGAAATGAATTACAGGTTTTAATATTGGCTGACTGGTGGCGTCCGATCTCTGCATCCTCGATATAAGCCTCTATGTTATGCTTGTTTACTACTGATCTGCTATGTCTCCCCGGGCAGAGATCTAGAGGATGCTTTAGAACTCTTTAGTTGTTTCATCCTTCCGTCAGTGTTCCAGATCCTCTCACTTTAAATATTTACACTCACTGGTTACTTTATTCTCTTCTTACACTTGAGATATTTATATATATGAAATGTTAGTGTTTATTCTTTTATTTACTTACTCTCTGTCTTTTTTTTCACAGAGTTCCAATTTCCTTTTTTTAACTGGTTTTATTTTTCTTTAATAATCAATTTCCTTTTCCCCCCCACTGTTTTTGTATAAAATGACTGACTCATATTTGAGATGATGATGTGTTCCTTGTGGGCCAATTGCCCCAGCTCTGCCTGGAATGTCAATGAGTGGGCTTTGCATATTCTTTTTGATTTACTAATTGCATAATTGCCGTTAAACTGCTCATTGGAACAGAATATTTAAATAGTTGGAGCTCCATATTAGCACGTGAGACAAGTCATAGTAAAGTCAAATAAACGATTTCAATTATTAAATTTTTAATTATTATTGTTCAAGCTCAATAGTGGAGCTGATCTAGAGGTTAAAATGGTTAAATGTCCATAGTACAGCATAGTATCGGGTGTTATATAAATAATTATTAATCAATGAATAAAACTCCACAGGTAAATCCCGGTCGATCTGTTGAGCTGGGAGTTGATTAAGAGGAATTTTATTCGGACAAACTATCCGAAATGAATTGTTGCACAAGTCTAATAATGATAAATACATCTTGACTTCAGTAGCAGAACTACGTGGCTGCACTGGAGCCTGCAAGCTCAAAGGGCGCATGCACTTGGAGCCACCCGATGCCCATTTTTGATCAGGGGCCCAATGAGGTGTTGCAGCCCCTTGCTGAGTGGGAAGCGGTGGTTAAATAATAATTCAGAAATAACCAATCCTATAGCGGAGCTGAAAAGAACAATTAAAGGCTACAAATAAATACAACCAATCGTACAAAGAGGGCTCGGATTTTATATTTGTATTTTTAACACATCCAACATCTGGAATAATTAATAGATTTTGCCTTTTCTCTTTGGTTGCCGATTCCACCCACCGATTAATGGATTCAATTTGTCGAGCTTAGAGACGAAGACGCAGTTTAAGTTTTGTTCTGTATTCCATTCTGTTTCAAACTAACCATCTATCACCAACATCTCGCATTCTGATAGATTCAAACATTAGTGTGTTCCCCAGAGAAGAACAAAGCATGACGTGTCTCTGGTGTGCTCTAAAAAAACAACATTTTAAACACAATGTGAAAGAAAATTGGACTAAACATGTAATATAACCCTTGTCTTTAATCAGCAAAGCCTTGTTTATCTGTTTACTGATCAATGAACATTTTATGATCGTTTTCCTCTAAGTGACCTCCTGAAAACCACTACCCAGCCAGCCATTGATCCTTGTTAGCTTCGAGGTCATAAAAGCTTTAGATGTACACAAATCTGTTCTGGTTTTGTGAAAAAAGTGTTTACTTGTGTCTTTCAGATTCTCTTTCTATGTAATAAACCATCCTCTTGTAATAAAATAATTAAATGTTTGAAAAAACAACATATCTTTCCCCCATTTCCCCATCTCCTGGGTTACCATCTGACATTAACAGAAATCGTACATGGTTTTTATTTCATAAATTCCAACCTGGATTTTGTAGGAATAAAATCTAATTATCACCAAGCTAGATTACAATAAACATTACCCATTCACTTGTTCAGTTTTTAATTTAAAACAACAAAAAAATTGATAATAATAATGTTTAGACTGCAAAATGATTTCAACGGATGTGTTTAATTTATGTAGAGCAAAAAAGGGGTTTGTTTTTACCTCGGCATCGCGTTCCAATTATCAGCTTTTGTGTCCAAAATGCAAGTTTTGTGAATGTTCTGTAGCTAAAGAAACTGCAATTCTTCCACAAATGCTGAGTAAATTTAAATAGCCACATATACGGAAGGGTTAATATTTATGTAGAGACCATTTCAGTGCCGATTCGCTAAACATTTTTGGGATGGACAAACTGAACTCGAATGAACATGTTGCTTGTGAAGTTAAGTATTTAGAATAAAAGTCTATCCACTTAGAATATTGGGTGGTATGTAAATTGTATATTTCAGAAAATAAGGAACTGACATGTATATAAAACGATGGCGTGATGGAGTAGAGGTGAATTTGAGTTGCTGTTAGTACATCCACAGATCTGATGGTTTTCTAATTCTTTTTTTCAGATCTCGCCTCGCTCACTTCCTAACCGATTGTCAGCCTGATCTGCGTTCGGCCAGCGGTTGCTTGAAAGAGAATTACGCTGAATGTTTACTGGCCTATTCAGGTCTCATTGGTAAGAAATACGATCTTCATTTTCTCATGGATAATTAATATAATGTAAATGTAACTGTTTATAAAGTAACTCAGGAGTGCACAGACTCCACTATGCATGGAGAGAGAAATGTTTGTTTTATCAGTGGGACTCAGCTAGAGTACACTGTTAGTACCTGTTGGCAATTCTTCTTGGTATATTTTCTAGGACATCTCAGGGTGTGTGTGAAGCTTGATGGGAAACATTAAAGCTATTCTGTAGCCCCCAGTGGCAAGCTGGCTAATAAACTCACTCAGAGTACATGAAATCATTACATTGTAATTATTCAGGCAATGGGCAGGCTGAAGGAGTTCAGGATTTACATCAGGAACACATCGTTCAGGATTTACATTTGGAGGATGGGAATTGGGTGGTTATGAAGTCACTAGTCCACATCATTTATACATTAATGGAAGAGGTAGGAACTGCACAGTCACGATCTGGTAACTAGCCCGTCCCATGGAGAAGAAGGCAGATCAACAGACTACACCTTCATACCAACTGTGGGTCTTCTTCTGTAATGTCAGCGTACAACATCGGTGTAGGAACAAATCTAAGGAGGAGAGCCTTTCATAGTAATCCCATCCCCACTTGGAGAGATACATCTTCTCAGCTTTTTGTAGGCAAATCAATCTATTATTACTCTGGAGTCTTTAAAATAGTATGTGGTTGCCAACTTCTTTAACGTAGTCTTGTGTTTCTTATCTGTAGTAAACAGTGAAACATATAACCTTTTTAAATTTATTATTTATTTATTTATAAAATATTTTACCAGGAAGGATACATTCCTGGTAAAACATTGCATTGATACAATAGGGTACAAAACATTGCATTGATACAATAGGGTACAATAAAATACAAAAACAATATTAATACACAATAAATACAAAATTTAACATAGAACAGGTAGGAAATATATAATCAACCATGACAGGGGCATTCTGTTTTGAGGTATGTAGAGAGGGATATCTTAAAGGACTTTAGGCCTGGGGAAGATTTGAAAGTGTGCGGGAGGTCGTTCCACAATTGCGGTGCTCTGTAGGAGAAGGAGGATCGGGCTGCTTTCTTTTTGTATTGAGGTAGACTAAATAAAGTGCTGGTACTGGATCGGAGCTTATAGAAAGTGGGAACAGCCGAGGGGAGCATTCTGCTCAGATAGGGCGGGAGCTTCTCAGAAAAGCTCTTAAACATAAAAACAGGCCTCACCTCACCCCACACTCATAGCAAACAGGGGATAGTGAAACACTGCATTTAACATTCTGCAGAAACTCCCATGCCTCACCCCACACTAAAACTCATAGCAAACAGGGGATAGTGAAACACTGCATTTAACATCCTGCAGAAACTCCCACAACTCCCAGGCCTCACCTCATAGCAAACAGGGGATAGTGAAACACTGCATTTAACATCCTGCAGAAACTCCCACAACTCCCAGGCCTCACCTCATAGCAAACAGGGGATAGTGAAACACTGCATTTAACATCCTGCAGAAACTCCCACAACTCCCAGGCCTCACCTCATACTCATAGCAAACAGGGGATAGTGAATCTCTGCATTTAACATCCTGCAGAAACTCCCACAACTCCCAGGCCTCACCCCACACTAATACTCATAGCAAACAGGGGATAGTGAAATACTGCATTTAACATCCTGCAGAAACTCCCACAACTCCCAGGCCTCACCCCACACTAATACTCATAGCAAACAGGGGATAGTGAAATACTGCATTTAACATCCTGCAGAAACTCCCAGGCCTCACCCCACACTCATAGCAAACAGGGGATAGTGAAGCTCTGCATTTAACATCCTGCAAAAACTCCCACAACTCCCAGGCCTCACCCCACACTAATACTCATAGCAAACGGGGGATAGTGAAGCTCTGCATTTAACATCCTGCAGAAACTCCCACAACTCCCAGGCCTCACCTCACACTCATAGCAAACAGGGGATAGTAAAGCTCTGCATTTAACATCCTGCAGAAACTCCCATAACTCCCAGGCCTCACCTCACACTCATACTCATACTCATAGTAAACAGGGGATAGTGAAGCTCTGCATTTTTTCCCCACCCAGGTTCCCCCTAAATATATAGCATGCTCCTCCAGCTGTTTGAGATTCTCACTCAATTACCTCTTCATCCCCTTTATATATTACCAATAGCTGCTGTTAACTCTTTCAGCCATCACCTCCAAACCTTTCCTTGCTACCTATTGTTTCAAATCCCCACGGTATCCTTTAGATTGTAAGCTCACGGGCCATCTAGCCAAGCACGTTGTATAAAAGAGCTCCAATGGCTAGATATCAGCTTATGGGCAGGGCGCTCTCTACCTCTTGTATTTGCCTATGTATATTGTACGTTCTCCACTAATTGTACAGCGCTGCGGAATCTGTTGGCGCTTTATAAATAGCAGTAATGAATAAAAACACAAGGCTGGAAAGATTAAGTGTGAGTCTGGATTCCAGCGACCGCCAGTTTAGTTATATTATCACCTTAAAATCTACCAACACCAAGAGGGATTTTTTTCCCCTGTCTCCCCCTGTCTCCCCCTGTCTCAGTTCCTACACTCGTGGCGTACAATTAAACATTTATATATTATTATCGACTCTCTCCTGCAGCACTTAAAGGGTTTCCAGCTAACCTCAGCTTTAGTCACGGGATTTGTAGTTTTGCCAAACTGGTATGTTACCTATCTAGTGGCTTAAAGGGAACAAAGCTCGTAACGTGCTTTTTATAGAATGCCACAATAAATTGTATCTCCGATTTCTCCAATAAACTATAATAGAAAAGTTTGAGATGGAAAACTGGTAAAAACTTTGAACAGGTAATAGGATTCATGTACGAAAGCGAGGACCGTATAGATCTTTCTATTTACCAGATACACACAGATTGCTGAGAGGTTTAATACTCTTTCTATGTACGGCCAGAGACTTCTCACTGCTTGGGAGGCAGCCAAATATCATCAAAATGGAATTACACACACAAAAAAATCTTTAAATGGCATTTGTAAATACAGAAAAGGTGTATAGTAATGTGTGTGTCTACACTGTCCTTCCTAAATAGGACAAAATAGGGATTTAAAGCAGAGCCCTGCCTACAAACCATGTCAATCAAAGAGCCAGCAATTGTATCTCAACTCTCAGAACACGTGTTGACACCGTGACTAGCACTGGGTATTTCATGGCTCTCTGACTGAGAGGGCTTGTAGGCTGCACTAACTACTAACTAACTTACTCTGTCAGTTTAAGGCTGCAAAGACAGTGTCCTGGCTCTATAACATTTTAATTAGCCGAATGGGTGCAGTGCCTGTATTATCCCTTTAAATGTTATTAATGTAAATACCTGCTAGTTTATTTTTAAGGATTTGGCTATTAAATGAAATACAATATAGGGGGGGACATAATTTGCCGTTCCAGTACATGCATATAGACAATAAATATGATTCACTAAATACTATATTTATACCAAATTAGCAGAGATTTGAAAAAGTCGAAATTCTCCTAGATCTATTTTATACCCTACATTTAGCAAATCATACATCATGTCACCTTGTATGTTTAGTGAATTTAGGCCACATTGCAGAATATTTAAATTTGTTTATTCAGAATACTCTCATGGGTGAAAACAAAATTGCAAACTTTTTCACAAAAAGTATCAGTTTGGACAATTGTACAATTGAGGTACAGTCACAATTCAGCTATATTAGGTAGTTTAAACTTTGCTGTTTAATTGGTTGTTTAATGAATATGTCCAAGAGTAATGCTTTATACAAGAAATATGAGGTCACAGAGTTTATTCCCCAAATTATGTTGGAATACATTTCCCTTCAATTGCTAATAACTGCTAGTTACAAGTGCTGACTAACTACAACTGCTAGTTACAGCTGCTATCTAACTATTACTGCTAGTTATAAGTGCTGACTAACTACAACTGCTAGTTACAGCTTCTATCTAACTATAACTGCTAGTTACAGCTGCTATCTATTACTGCTAGTTATAGCTGTTGTCTAACTATTACTGCAAGTTACAACTGCTGACTTACTATTACTGCTAGTTACAGCTGCTATCTATTACTGATATTAACAACTGCTATCTAACTATTACTCATAGTTACAGCTGCTATCTAACTATAACTGCTAGTTACAAGTGCTGACTAACTACAACTGCTAGTTACAGCTGCTATCTAACTATTACTGATATAAACAACTGCTAACTACTACTGCTAGTTACAGCTGCTGACACTATTACTGCTAGTTACAGCTGTTATCTAACTACTACTGCTAGTTACAGCTGCTATCTAACTATTACTGCTAGTTACAACTGCTGACTTACTATTACTGCTAGTTGCAGCTGCTAAATATAATTGCTAGTTACAGCTGCTAATTTTCTATACCTACTAGTTACAGCTGCTATCTAACTATTACTGATATAAACAACTGCTAACTACTACTGCTAGTTACAGCTGCTATCTAACTGTTACTGCTAGTTACAAGTGCTTACTTACTATACCTGCTAGTTACAGCTGCTGACTTACTATACCTGCTAGTTACAGCTGCTATCTAACTATTACTGCTAGTTACAGCTGCTGACTTACTGCTAGTTACAGCTGCTGACTTACTATACCTGCTAGTTACAGCTGTTATCTAACTATACCTGCTAGTTACAGCTGCTGACTAACTATTACTGCTAGTTACAGCTGCTGACTTACTATACCTGCTAGTTACAGCTGTTATCTAACTATACCTGCTAGTTACAGCTGCTGACTTACTATTACTTCTAGTTACAACTGCTAACTAACTCTAAGTGCTAGTTTGAAATGGCCTCAGTTCATTCACTATTTGTAACCTAGTAACGGTTGCACTATTAACTCACCAAATAAAAGAAATCCCAAATAAACCATAAATGAAATATTAAAGACGTTCTCCCTCTGCACGTTGTCTATGATACAGACCCAATGCTGCACAACATGTAACAGGGCCCATTTACATGAAGGTTAAATTCTCAATTACATTTAAAGGAGAACCTTTTACGGGCCCATCAGCAAGTCTCCCAATTACACATTAAGACACTTTAAAACTCTCATTGCCACGGTCTGACAGGGACTCCAGAGAATTGCTTCCTAATACCATTTATTTCCAAGATGTCTCGCAGAGCAAACATTTAGAAAATTCTTCATTGAAGGAAGCGTTAGACAGGGCATATCGATTCTACTAATGAAATGGGTTTTATAAATGCCCTCCTCACTGCTGCCCACTATTACCTCCATCCCTGGCAGAGCTCTGTGGATCTGAATGAAAGATCTTTGTAAATATGAACCTGTTGTTGCAGTGGGTTTGAGTGTGTTAGAGCCTGAGAGGACCTGGGGGAGTTAGAGAGGGTGTGCTTGGCTTTGGTAAGTGGTGATACCTACCTATGCACTCGATAGTAAAGAGGCAAACATCCTATCTGTTACCGACTTTCCACCTACTGGTTATTATTAATCTCATTCCGTGGAGCTGAACACAGAATATCCGGCAATAGTAAGTAGGCTATGTACTATCGTGACTCCATTCATGCCTCCCTGCCAATATGGCCACTGTCATTGTCATATCGATCCATGGGACCCCTAACAGAAGACGTTATAAAGCTGCTTTTTAACTAAAGATATATTTAAATACATATATTGTGTAGCTTAGTTTGGGAATAGTTACATGCGTTGCTTATTTACCTTTTATTCTGGGATATCTCATGTCTAATAAACATAGCTTTTCTGGGTAACACCATCTCACAGTTACTGGAATACAGAGGAATTGTGTCCAAGATAAATCATTCAAAATGATTAGGATTAATATTGCCATTGACTCTGAAAATATATATTCGTGGGATGGTAATTTCCACAGAGTTTGATTCGATGTTAGGAGGATATTTGAATCTCCTTCTACACCTGTACATGATGCCGGGAGTTAAAATAACACGTTTTTACCATTTCCTATCCCTGCTCTTTGTATCTTGATTCATTTGCAGTATTTTTTTCCTATTCTTTCCAGGCACAGGGATCACCCCTAATTACCTGGAGTCCAGCAGCCTTAGTGTGTCGCCCTGGTGTGACTGCAGCAACAGCGGAAACTACATTGACGATTGCTTGAAATTCGTTAACTTCTTCAAGGATAATATCTGCCTTAGTAAGTATCACACAGCATCCTCCTGGTACCCAGAACTTACTCCTATAAACGTAACATAGTCACAGAAATGTAATAATATAATGACTTAAACAGTGATATACTAACAGAAATGTAATAATATAATTAATTAAACAGTGATATACTAACAGAAATGTAATCATATAATTACTTAAACAGTGATATACTAACATAAATGTAATCATATAATTAATTAAACAGTGATATACTAACAGAAATGTAATAATATAATTAATTAAACAGTGATATACTAACAAAAATGTAATCATATAATTAATTAAACAGTGATATACTAACAGAAATGTAATAATATAATTAATTAAACAGTGATATACTAACAGAAATGTAATAATATAATTAATTAAACAGTGATATACTAACAGAAATGTAATAATATAATTAATTAAACAGTGATATACTAACAGAAATGTAATCATATAATTACTTAAACAGTGATATACTAACATAAATGTAATCATATAATTAATTAAACAGTGATATACTAACAGAAATGTAATAATATAATTACTCTGTCGTGATCTAACAGAAATGTAATAATATAATTAATTAAACAGATATACCTAAGATTTGACATTTATTAAAGGGTTGGGATTAATTCTGGGATTCTGTTCTGGATTTAGTTATTGAATACAACATTCAGTCAATATAGAAAGATGTCATAGGACGTCAGAGACAAGCCGTACATTAACCCCCTTAGGACACATGACATGTGTGACATGTCATGATTCCCTTTTATTCCAGAAGTTTGGTCCTTAAGGGGTTAAATTTGCCCTTTGTTTTCAACCTGCTCAATATATTTATTTTCCAGAATTATATGGCCACTTTCAGCTTTGCCTGCAAGCCCGATTAGCTTCATAATCTCTTTGATTGAAAGTGAATTTCAATACATTTTATTATTCCCTGTGTGTATCCCTGGCTGAGCGTATATTAATGTGATTTATTGAGGCAGGTTAATGCAGAGATATACGAGTGTTTAATAGGGAGTATCACTTTAATAGGGATACAGTGCTGTGGTCAGGGTGAAGAATGGAAGGTGTAAAGGTTTATTTATACAATATATGTGAATAGAATGCAAACGTACCAGGGAGGAACACAAACCTGGCTATACGATTGACAACCTGGGTATCGTAAAAGTGTTCTTTACAAAAGGGCTGATTTCTTTATTGAATTTGGCACTTTTATGAAATGAATGAAAGAGGACACACACTTGACATGAATACATGGGTTTAATTTGAATCCTCCCCAGGTAGAACTTGTCCCTAAATAAAGGCTGAGTCCACTGGAAATTGAAGTGTACTGGTCATCCTAAATGACAGATATTCCGATATACACAATGGAATATTGAAATGACCATCAGAGAGTAAACCGATAGAATCAATAATCTGCCTCATGTTTTGACAGTGGTCCTGGTGCCCAAAGATTGTTTCCTCATTGTGTTACTTTGCGTCTTCCTTCCTCCTGGATAGGTAGATTAGGGGAAGATTAAGGACTGGGTTTTACATGTCGACCTGTTAAAATCAGCCAATTCTGACTGTCCATATAAAACCATTTTCTGTAACCATTTTCTGTAACCATCCCTCTCTGATTGCTCCTGAATGCATTTCCTGCCTAAAGAATTGTAGAAATGTACTTTTGTTTATTCTGCATCATTCTATAATTGGAGTACTATAAAACCTATTACTGAAAGTTAAAACAACAGAATGCCAAAGACAATAAAATTACCCCAAAACCTGAGTTTTAACGACTTGGAATCGTGCGTGTTCCTGTGTGTTTGCTAAGATGTACGCTTTCTAATCGTGGAGCAAGACATGAACCCGTTTTAATCCGTTCCATGCCAGAGGCACGCTAAAATAAAATAAATATATTTTAAAATACAGTAATTTGCATAACATAGATGAAAATATTGAATTTCTGGGGGGGTTTATTTCACTTAATCCGCTTGTTTTTAGAATTAAACCCACAATCGCCAACATTACTCCATCCAAAATGGAAATTAATCTACCTCTCCCGTATCTATGCTTAGCTGCCGGTACTCGATTTATTGGCGACTGTAAGGGTTACAGCCAAAGCTTCTAAAAGCTTCTAGTGCAGCGCTGCATTAACACAGCACACATTCCCCCCTACCTTAAATCTGAAACTCCCTCAAATTCCCTCCAGACCTGATTAAAACTGCTTTCTATTCATTTACCAAAAGGAGTGAGAAAATGAAATAGAGAACAGGTAATGTAGCCCAGCTATAAGCACGATTCCTTTGAAATAACTGTAATCTTTTAAACTTTTATCATTTGCTTTGTTGCCATAATTATGCAAATGGGTTGCCAGCTACAAAGTAACGAATTCCCCATACAGGGTTGTGTATTTATATATTTATTTAGCCAGAGCGGAAAATTCCAATCTAGGACTCAAGATTCCCACTAGAACAATGTTCTTCTTGTGCTTTATGGCTTTAATTTTTTTTTCTATTCTTTTTATTTTGTTGTCGGTGATGTAAAGAAATTATTTAGAATAGAAATCATTATCTTTAGTATTGCACATTTATTGGAAGATACAAATTAATATTATTGATTTTATTTATAAAGCATAAACGAACTCCCCGGCACAGTAGATAGGACGCAGATACTCAAATCTTGCAAAGCTGGAAATTGTGTAAAATTAACCAGGGAACTGTATATTTTAGGCTGAAATTACTGAATTAGCTAAATTCTCCAACTCAGCTAGTTTTCCAGCTCAGGGATTTTGCTTGAAATTTGCAATTTTCTTGTCAACGCTGCTGAGTGCGATACAAGCTGAAAGTTCTGAGACATTGACACGGCTCACAGTTTACCAAGGGATAGGACTGAGGTGAGACAAGAGGTTAACTGATGATCAGAACATCGGATTTCTATTAATAAATTATTCATGGATAAAGTAAGTGATTGATGGGATTCCAGAACTGGCTGGGTTTTCGGATCCCCCGTACAGGGATTGCCATGGACAGCAAGTCTGTAAAACTCTCTTAGAATGAAGTGAGAAGAAAGCCACAAGTAGTTCTCTTGGAGGTTACGCTTTAATATGTATTTATCTGGTTATTTGTAGCTATGTCTGCCGTCCCGTCAGTATATGTTTATGCCTGATTTCCATGAGGCTATTTATACTTTATTTCTCGCTATTTTGAAGAAGAGAGACAGGACAACTCAAGCAGGTTGGGATGTTTTGAAGATCAGAATGGAGATAAATAAGGGACCATCGTTAATGTTGTAAGATCCTTTTTGTGTAAAAGATATGGGGATTATTCACCCTTCCAATCTCTCTATGATCACTGAGCAGCAATTAGTATCCTTCTAATTAGTGCATATCAGACTGCTGCCACTGATCCAAACAGTAAGACAGACCAACTGCTGTCTGTGGAATACCCCCTACCCCATTAAACCCCAATATCTTTTACACTAAAGGGATACAGACATTACAATGTAACCACTGCCTGTAGAATACTCAGGGAACACAGCAGCTCACATTGGCGGGGGCAATTTACCAAACCACCCCAATATATTTTACACTAAAGGGATACGGACATTACAACTCAACTGCTGCCTGTAGAATACTCATGGAACACAGCAACTCACACTGGTGGGGGGGGGCCAATTTACCAAACCACCCCAATATCTTTTACACTAAAGGGATACGGACATTACAATGTAACTGCTGTCTGTAGAATACTCAGGGAACACAGCAGCTCACACTGGAGGGGGCAATTAACCAACCCTCCCACCCCCCAATATATTTTACACTAAAGGGATACAGACATTACAATGTAACCACTGCCTGTAGAATACTCAGGGAACACAGCAGCTCACATTGGCGGAGGCAATTTACCAAACCACCCCAATATATTTCCATCAAAGGATAAGGACATTACAACTCAACTGCTACCTGTAGAATACTCAGGAACACAGCAACTCAGACTGGGAGGGGTGCAAATTAACCAAACCCCACCCCCTAACATCTTTACACTAAAGGATACGGACATTAACAAAAATCAAGCTGTCTGTTGAATACCAGGAACACAACAGCTCACACTGAGGGGCAATTAACCAACCCCCCAATATATTTTACACTAAAGGGATACGAACATACAATGGACATTACAATGTAACTGCTGTCTGTAGAATACTCAGGGAACACAGCAGCTCACACTGGAGGGGGCAATTAACCAAACCCCCCAATATCTTTTACACTAAAGGGATACGGACATTACAATGTAACTGCTGTCTGTAGAATACTCAGGGAACACAGCAGCTCACACTGGAGGGGGCAATTAACCAAACCCCCAATATCTTTTACACTAAAGGGATACGGACATTACAATGTAACTGCTGTCTGTAGAATACTCAGGAAACACAGCAGCTCACACTGGAGGGGGCAATTAACCAAACCCCCCAATATCTTTTACACTAAAGGAATACGGACATTACAATGTAACTGCTGTCTGTAGAATACTCCGGGAACACAGCCGCTCCCACTGGAGGGGGCAATTAACCAAAAAAACCCAATATCTTTTACACTAAAGGGATACGGACATTACAATGTAACTGCTGTCTGTAGAATACTCCGGGAACACAGCAGCTCACACTGGGGGGGGGGGCAATTAACCAAACCCCCCAAATATATTTTACACTAAAGGGATACGGACATTACAATGTAACTGCTGTCTGTAGAATACTCAGGGAACACAGCAGCTCACACTGGAGTGGGCAATTAACCAAACCCCCCCAATATCTTTTACACTAAAGGGATACGGACATTACAAATGGGGGGGGTGCAATTAACTAAACCCCCCAATATCTATAACACTAAAGGGATACAGACATTACAATGTAACCGCTGTCTGTAGAATACTCAGCTAACACTGGAGGGGGGGCAATTATGTAGAATACTCAGGGAACACTGGGGGGGTGCAATTAACTAAACCCCCCAATATCTATAACACTAAAGGGATACGGACATTACAATGTAACCGCTGTCTGTAGAATACTCAGCTAAC